GGTGGACCAATGTCCCTTTAGCAAACCTCCCCTCAGCGAAAGCGGCCTGGGACCGAAACCGACGGACCTGGAGCCGCAAAAAGGACGGCCGCGACGCCCTCTCGCGAACCGAGAGCGGCAAATTCCTGAATCGACGCGTCAGGGTATAGGAGGTCTGTCCACCTCCGACCTCTGGGAAGGTCCGCAGCACCGACCCGCGCGCGGTCGAGCCCCACTCAAGGGGCACAAGGACACACAAATAAATACACACAAATAAAATGACGCCCCATATTTTCTCATATTTTCTGGGGTTTTGTCTTCCCCCCCAATTCCCATGTTTTCCCATATTTTCCTGGGAGTCGACGATTAATTGTGTCTGTGTGTTTCTTTCCCTCCTGAGTATAGGAGGTCTGTCCACCTCCGACCTCTGGGAAGGTCCGCAGCACCGACCCGCGCGCGGTCGAGCCCCACGGCATCCCCGATGCGCTCCCGACGCGTGCTCGGACAGGGCTCGCGGGCGGGCGCCGGCCGCCCTGCCACACATCACGACCCTCGCCTCCGCAGCGGCTGGGCGTGCACCCTGGCGCGAGGAGGTGCCCTGCTCCTGCTCCTGGTTCCTCCTGCTCCTCCTGGTTCCTCCTGCTCCTCCTCCTGCTCCTGCTCCTGCTCCTCCTGCTGCTCCTGGATCCTCCTGGATCCTCCTGCCCCTCCTCCTCCTCCGCACTCTGCGCTGGGCGAAAACCTTCGGAACGGAGCCTGTGGCGCTTCTGTGGGCAGCGCAAAAAGAAAGATCGGCCGACCGAGCGGTGCGACAATCAGATTACGCATGGCTGGCGCAGCGGCAGAACGAGAGGCGCGAAGAATTGGAAACAGACAGTGGGCCCGCAAGGGCACAGAGTATGCGCCAGCGATGCGGTGAAGTCCCTCTCCTTCGCAACCCCCTCCTCCTCCTCCTCCTCCTCCTCCTCCTCCTCCACCTCCTCCTCCTCCTCCTCCTCCTCCTCCTCCTCCATTCCACCCCCTCGCGTCGTGAAAGACTCGCGGCGCCACATGTTTGTCCGCTTTCTGCTCCTGGGCCCCCTCACCAGGCCCGGGGTTGTCAACAAGCACGGCTCGGGAAGAAAAGCCGTTCCTGGGGAAGCAGCCCCGCCGCATGTTCAGACGCTCCTCCCCCTCGCACTTCCCCCCTCGGCGCGCGGCCAATTGGTGGGGAAACCATCTGGGACCGATACCGCTTCTCCCCGGACCTCTCCAGGGGTGCGTTCTGACCAGAAACGTTCAAGGTGAATCCGGCCGTGGCGACGTGGGCAGCGATATCGGAACGCCTTCGTCCTCTGGATTGGTGCCCGGTCGAACCCCCCCCGAGTTCTCGTCTCCAGGGCGGCGACGCGCCGCTGAGACCCCCGACGCCGAGCTTCGAGATCAGCAGCGGGGCGCTGGTGAGCGACATGTACGTGCCCTCGCGGCCTCCGGGGCGCGGGGCGGGATGATCCATTGTTGTTGTTGTTGTTGTTGTTGTTGTTGTTGTTGTTGTTGTTGTTGTTGTTGTTGTTGTTGTTGTTGTTGTTCTTGTTGTTGTTGTTCTTGTTGTTGTTGTTGTTGTTGTTGTTGGTAGTGCCATTCTGAATCTTCCCCATAATCCGATTTTATGATGTGTTCATGGCGCACCAGAAATGCACGTCGGGCCACAAGTCATTCACCAACGTTGCCATTCAGAAAACTTCGTTCCTGACGTGGGAGGTAAGCCACACCGCAATCGGGACAAGACATCTCTGCCCGACCTGGTCGGGGGCCAGGGCGGGCCGGGAGGAGGATGGAGGCTCCGCAAGTGGTCCTCCAGGTGGCGCAGAGAGGGCAATAGCCACGGTGAGCCTACCACCAGCGCCGCCATCGCTGGCCTCCGGCTCAAATCAAGACTGTCCCCGCTGCCAGGCCGACGTGGGGCCTGGTGGGGCCCAGCCGCGACTCGCACTTGACACACGGCTCGCGGCGCGCCAGCTGCAGGAGCTGCCCTCGAGGACAGAGCGGATGGGGGCTCGATCGGTCGAGCCGGGGGGCCGATGCCTGATTCGAAGCCTTCCCTAAAGCAAACCACCGAGTGAGGGCTTTTCTTCTAGCGTTTCGACGTTGGGCGGAGGGGGGAGGAGAAGGGGTCTGGCTCCAGACCTCTGCTCAGTGCGACTGCTTGCGACGGGGCGTCCTGTGGGAGAGACTCCACCTGCCTGCAGACAGGCTCCGAAAGCAGCCAAGATCCACTCCGTGGGAGGGGCAAGGGGGGGGGGGTGCGAGGGCCCGCACCGATCGGCAAAACAACGAACAAAAAACAACCACCCGTGGGGCCGACGTCTGGTTTGAGGCCTGCTCTAAAGCAAGCCACACCTTACAGCAAATTGTTTCCGAATCGGCCTGACTGGGGTCACTCTGCAGAGAGAGGAAGACGCAGGAGCCACACGTGTGCACAGAAAAAGGGGGAGCGGGAGGACGAGTAAGGAAGCATGGAGCAACGGCTGCGAGAACCGACGGGGGGAAGGAGAAATCGCTTGGTGGCAACTTCCGGGAGCCTCCCGCACCATCTTGCCGTCTCTTGCGAATCGACGCTGGGCGAAGCCAAACCGACGCTAAATCGACGCTAATCGACGCTAGCCAGCGCTACATCGGCGCTATCTCATCGACTCCCACACGCCAGTCGACGCGAGTCGACGCTAAGAGGGCGGAATTACGAGGGTACACCCTGCGAAATGCTTTAGAAATCATGGGTTAAGAAATTCATCGTCTCAGATCTGGAATAAAAACCCAACGTTTCTATCAAAATCTTAGGAATTAAATTGAAACAGTAAGAATAATCGAGACTCTGGCCGAAAACTTAAGTTTTCTTAAGCATCGCCTAAGGGGTAGACCGAGCTCCCATGATGTGCTGCCAGAGGGAAATCGGGCCGGCGAGCCCTGGACACTCGGGGGGGGGGGGGCGGGCAGGGCCCCCCGTCCCGTGCGGAGGGGGGAAGGAGGTGGAGGACGAGGACGAGGACGAGGACGAGGAGGAGGAGGAGGGAGAGGAGGAGGAGGAGGAGGGGGGGGGGGAAGAGGAGAAGGAGGAGGAGGAGGACGAGGACGAGGACCAGGAGGAGGAGGAGGAGGAGGAGGAGGAGGAGCGTCTCCGGCAGGGCCCCAGTCCCGTGTGGGCGGCAGTTGCCCACGGCAGGGGCGCCCGTCGGCGCCCCCCCTCCCCGCCCCCCCCTGGGAGTGCGATCGCCGTGAGGTGCACCGCAGCCGAATTTCAAAGATGAGGATCGGCGGCGAGCGGGGGGGGGGGGAAATGAGAGGGAGAAGGCGGCGGGACTTCTCAGAAAGGGGGAAATGAGAGGGGGATGACGACGTGCAGGGGGGGAAATGAGAGGTGCAGGGGGATGACGACGATTTTATGCCCGTCGTATCCCTGCCCGGCGGGGGGGGGGGAATGAGAGGGAGAAGGCCTTCTCAGAAGGCGGCGGGACTTCTCAGAACCCCTCGCGCCTTCTGCCAGGTTTTCGCTCCCAACCATCTTGTGGTGTTGGGTCCTCGTTTTGAAGAGACGGTCCCCGCGTTCCTCCCGCTGCCCCCTCCTCCCCTCCCTCCCCCCTCCTCCCAGCCCCCCCCACCTCACTTTGGCACACCCCTCACGCGCTTCGTGACCCCACATGGAGCCCCACCGAAGGCGCAAATGCCAGCGTTCGCAGGCGTCCACCGCACCCAATTTTGGCATGTCCCTCAGACGCTTCGTGGCCCCATAGGGAGCCCCACCGAAGGCCCAAAAAACCAGCGTGCGCATGCGCCCATCGCACACGTTCTGGCACACACCCCTAACACGTTTCGGGCCCCATAGGGAGCCCCACCGATGGCCCAAATGCCAGCGTTTGCATGCGCCCACCGCGCCCAAGTTTGGCACACCTCTCACACGTTTCGTGGCCCCATGGGGAGCCCCACCGAAGGCGCAAATGCCAGCGTTCGCAGGCGCCCACCGCACCCATTTTGGCACACCCCTCACACGTTTCGTGGCTTCATAGGGAGAGCCCCACTGAAGGCCCAAATGCCAGCGTTCGCATGCGCACACTGCACCCCTTTTGGCACACCCCTCACACGCTTCGTGGCCCCATAGGGAGCTCCACCGAACGCCCAAATGCCAGCGTTCTCATGCGCCCTCCGCACCAATTGTGGCACACGCCTCACACGCTTCGTGGCCCCACAGGAAGCCCCACCGATGGCCCAAAAGCCAGCGTGGGCATCCGCCCATCGCACACGTTCTGGCACACACCCCTAACACGTTTCGGGCCCCATAGGGAGCCCCACCGATGGCCCAAATGCCAGCGTTTGCATGCGCCCACCGCACTCAAGTTTGGCACATCCTCACACGTGTCGTGGCACCACATGGAGCCCCACTGAAGGCGCAAATGCCAGCGTTCGCATGCGCCCACTGCACCCATTATGGCACACCCCTGACACGCTTCGTGGTCCCATGGGTAACCCCACCGAAGGTCCGAATGACAGCGTTCGCATGTGCCCACCGCACCACATTGGCACACACTCCTACACGCTTCGTGGCTCCATAGGGAGCCCCACCGAAGGCCCAAAAAACCAGCGTGCGCATGCGCCCACCGCGCCATGTTTGCACACCCTCATACGTTTCGTGGCACCAGATGGAGCCCCACCGAAGGCGCAAATGACAGGGTTCGCAGGCGCCCGCCGCACTTAAGTTTGGCACACCCCTCACACGCTTCGTGGCCCATGGGGAGCCCGAGCTCCACCGAAGGCGCAAATGCCAGCGTTCGCAGGCGCCCACCGCACCCAATTTCGGCACGTCCCTCACACGTTTCGTGGCCCCATAGGAAGCCCCACCGAAGGCCCAAATGCCAGCGTTCGCATGCGCCCACTGCACCCATTATGGCACACCCCTCAAACGTTTCGTGGCCCCATAGGCCCATAGGGAGCCCCAGCGAACGCCCAAATGCCAGCGTTCGCATGCGCCCTCCGCACCAATTGTGGCACAC